AAAACCCCCAAACAACAAAACTGAACACCCCAAAATTACTTATATCGGAATATATTTGTAATTAGTACTGACAACTAGAAATTGGTTCTTTGAAGATTCAAGATGGGAGTAAAAGGCAATTCAGTATAAAAATCCTGCTCTGGAGGGGATCATTTTCCATATTTTACTTGTGCGTTTAACTCATTGCTAAGGAAAGTGGTCAGCACTCCTAACAGCTTGTCTCTGATAAAAGAATTTGACATTACAAATTTAATCAGCTCAGCAGCGTCCTTCCAGTCAAAGTTCTGGACAACCGCCATGGCTTCAGCACAGAGTTTCTGCTTCTCAGCAGCAGGCAATTCCATTAAAACCTGAGGGACTGGCTTGAAATCTTCAGAAGTCATCCATCCAAGTAATCCACCCAGTGCTCCTCCTAGGAAACAAAAAGAATCATTAGTCTTTAGCAGTTAATGTTAAAGCCTGGAATTCCATGCACAGCCTTCACCAACAATGTTCCCACAGTGATCAGAAGTCAAGATTGAGTTGTGTATGTGTCTGCTTTAACTAGATTTATACACAGTATTCAAAGCATCAAAAAGGATTTTAAAAGCTCTTTACATCCACAGCAACCATAAAGAAACCCTTCCTGCAATCAACACTAACAGCTTCAAGCTAGAAACCAGAAGCAAAACACTCCCTGGGACACTCTCTCAGGGGAAGCTCTACTGCTACATAAAGCCTTGCCCAAGGAAAAGCGCAGAGCAACAGCTGCCTTAGCAGTGTCATCATCTCTTACTAGATACTGCCAGAGTGGTCAAAGCTTTCTGCTTGTTGAAGAGTCACCCACTGCAGTGTCCTACACACCTGAAGCCACCCCTGCAGGTGCTCAGAGACCAATCCCATCAGACACATGCAGGCTTTCATCCACCAGGGGCACAGCCCACCCTCCCCAGGAGGACAAGACATGCTGGGCTAAGGGAAGGCCCCAGGTTATCAGGATGACAGCAGAGGGATGGATGTACAGCTGATGTGCCTGTGGCTGCTGAGAAAGCAGCCCAGCAGCCCTGCAGGGCTCCCCTCCAGCAGCAGTGTGAGTGCAGCACAGCAATCCACAGGGCAGCACTGCCCGCAGCACACACGGCCTGGGATGGATGGACAGATGGAATGAAGGAAGAGGGGAGAGAGAGAGAGAACCCTCCCAATGGAGAGGTGGCAGAACTGACCCTGCCACCAAAACTGCCACCCCCAGAGACTGCTCCTAAAAAGTCACCTAGGCACTCACAGGGATGCACTTTTTCATTAGACAAAAACTCTTCATTTGCACCTTTTACTCAGTGAGCAATTTTTCCCAAGACAGCACAGAAATACTTGAAAGCTGACGATGGCTGAATTCATCTTCAAGGGACTTTCATGAGAACATCAATTACTGATTTAGGGGCACTTAATGCAAAAGCCACTAGAAGCATTGATGTCTAAGATTTAACCATCCTCTTGTTCCTAAAGCAAAGCACACTTACCTACAGCGATTCCAGGAGGGCCTCCCAGCATCCCCCCCACAAATGCTGATGCACCTGTCAGCATGGCTCCCCGGCCAGAATTGGCGACAGCAGCTTTCATGCCCTTCACTGTGGCAACGTGGCTGAGCAGCGCCATCACGTCATCAGCACGCACCGGCATCCCGGCGTCTCCAAATCCTGCAAAAGGTGTTTAAGTTGTCTTTTGATCGCTGCAAACAACACTAAACCTAGCTGCTAAATGAATCTGGGGGGAACAAAACGATTGTATTCAAGGACAAACACAGGAAATACTAACTGCTTTCTCTTTTGAGTCTCAGAAAACCACCACGGGCAGTAAGTGCTGAAGGTTACTGAAAAAGGCGAATCAGATCTCACATTAGACCAGAAAAAAAAATGGGTTTTTAAAAAAATTCAGAGATGCTACCGAATCAAATTCTTCAGTCCATTGCTGTTGGCCTGAGCAATTCCCATGTGTGTTCAGCATCACACACAGCTCTGGGAAAAAGACAGAGCTTCACTCTGCCACAGCTAGCAGATTATAATTGACTAATGAGTCAGGTATCTTCTCATTGTCCGAATTTTTACCACAAGTCAGTCAATTTTTTTCACATATCAGTTCTTCTCCCTTTTGTGTTACATGTTTAACCACTTGCATGCTGGTTTCTGAAGGCAGCAGGCTGTCTGTAGCAACCAAGGAGTGCCTGAGAAGTGTCGCAGGACAGAGCTGGTGCTGGGACATTGAGTGCTCAGGTGCTCTGCAGCCAGGCCAGCAGAAAGGTAGGGCTGGGTGGATAAGGCAGTCAGGACTCAGAGCACAGATGCCAGGAGAGTCTCATGGAGGAGCCCAGCTTGTGAAATGCTGCCACATGTCCTCAGCAAGGGACACAGACCTGTCCCTGACAACAAGCACTCTGAGAGCAAAACTTCTCCCCCTCATTCACCTGCTGCTGCTGCTCACTACAGAAATCCCACTCTGCACACCAGCTGAGGAAAGGGCTTCCAGGGATAATTCAAATAAACAGAAAAGCATTCAGTGGGATTAAAAATAAAATCACATATACACAAGCTGCAGATTTCTCATTGCACATGTATGTCAGCACTACAGAACAGATCAGCATTTGGGCTTTTTCAGACCCTAGAAAACCTCTTGTCCCAGTGTGTGCAATACCATCTCAGCCCAGGCCAACGGGCCTTTCCTGAATAGATCAGAAATCTTTCCTCAGACTCTTTCCTGAATGCATCTCCCCAATGCAATGTGAAAGTGGAGTGGTTTCTCATGATTTTTCATATTAAATATTAACTACTGCAACAGAGAAAGCTTTCTTTTGCACCAAAATGGCTGACTGCAAATCACCCATGTCACTGCAGGATGCAAGCACTGCTGGCACTGAAGAAAGCTCTGGCTTTTGGGAAGGGACCACCTATGCTCCATAGCTGCAAAGAGGCCCAGCAGGATGTTCATCAAATAGTTGATTTCTGTCACTCCTTCACTCATCTTTGTGCCAGTCTCAAGGGAACATCCAAGTTCACCATCTGACCACAGCTGCTCTTGGGCTCTTGGCAGGCTGATGACCCAGCAGTGGCTCAGAGTGGCAGAGGGTGCTGGTCAGTGACAGCAGAGCCACACACTCTGCTCCCAGAGTTACAGATAATCTCAATCCAGAGGGCTCAAGCTCCAAGGCAAGAACAAATGGCTGCTCTGCCTGTCCTAGAGCAGTGGGGAAAAACCACCAAAATATACAACTGAAACAGCTCCCACTGCCAGGCCTGGAAAAGGACAATTAAGTGTTTGTTTTTACCTTTCTAACCAAAGGTGAGCAGCTTTCCACTCAGAGTGCCATTCACAGCAGCCCCGAGCAGGCTGAAGTGCTGCAGGATTCACTCCCTCCTCTCAGACACTGAGTTGTGCTTGTGCTTCACCTCTGTGCCATGTCTCAGACCAACCCAAAGTGCTGAAAACCATTTGCATCTCCTCTCTGGGCTAAATTCAGTCAATGTCTCACACAAAGCCCTCCAGGATGAAGGCTCTGCAGCATGGGTGGGATGACACAAGCTGGAGAGCTGACAGCCCAGGGCTCTCACTGATGGTAAGATAATCAGCTTTGCCCCCTCAAACTGAGGGATTGCTACCATTTCCTAAAGCAATTTCACTGGAGCAGAAGTGCAATGATGTTTTCTAAGCTGACACACCTGCAGCTGCAGCACCAGGTTCCAGCACTGGGTTGAAGCTGGCTGCCCAAAGTCACCTGCACTACCACCCTCCACAGGGCCAATACTGCGAGGTGTCCTCACGGTGACATGGCAAAGGTGACACAGTGGCAAAGTCCAGACAGCCATGATACACAAAATAATACCATACAATATCAGAAGGATTCAAGCAGGTCTCCTTTCTCATTCTTCTTCAGCACAGCCTCTGATCCCCTTCACCTTACCTGCCTTACCCCTGTGTGCCCTCTGTCCCCTCTGTGACTGGTCACTACACCTGGGCACTCCAGGTCTCATTGCCTTCAGTGCTGGTCACCTGCTCTGTGCAGCTGGAGCTCATCAGGGATGAGGCTCAGCCACAGCCCCACTCCCAATCA